TGAAGATATTCCAAGACTTTCGTCTGGTTCAGTTAAATCGATTCTAACATTTTTCTGATTCTTATCCAGTCAAAGTTAATCCAAGACCTTCACTGGTTCAGTCAGATCGACGCTAAGATCTCCCTGATTCTTATTCCAGTTGAAGATATTCCAAAACTTTCATCTGGTTCAGTTAAATCGATTCTAAGATTTTTTTGATTCTTATCCAGTCAAAGTTAATCCAATACCTTCTATGGTTCAGTCAGATCGACACTAAGATCTCCCTGATTCTTATTCCAGTTGAAGATATTCCAAGACTTTCGTTTGGTTCAGTTAAATTGATTCTAAGATTTTTTTGATTCTTATCCAGTCAAAGTTAATCCAAGACCTTCTCTGGTTCAGTCAGATCGACGCTAAGATATCCCTGATTCTTATTCCAGTTGAAGATATTCCAAGACTTTCGTCCGGTTTAGTTAAATCGATTCTAAGATTTTTCGGATTCTTATCCAGTCAAAGTTAATCCAAGACCTTCTCTGGTTCAGTCAGATCGACGCTAAGATCTCCCTGATTCTTATTCCAGTTGAAGATATTCCAAAACTTTCATCTGGTTCAGTTAAATCGATTCTAAGATTTTTCTGATTCTTATCCAGTCAAAGTTAATCCAAGACCTTCTCTGGTTCAGTCAGATCGACACTAAGATCTCCCTGATTCTTATTCCTGTTGAAGATATTCCAAGACTTTTGTTTGGTTCAGTTAAATCGATTCTAAGATTTTTCTGATTCTTATCCAGTCAAAGTTAATCCAAGACCTTCTCTGGTTCAGTCAGATCGACGCTAAGATCTCCCTGATTCTTATTCCAGTTGAAGATATTCCAAGACTTTCGTCCGGTTCAGTTGAATCGATTCTAAGATTTTTCTGATTCTTATCCAGTCAAAGTTAATCCAAGACCTTCTCTAGTTCAGTCAGATCGACGCTAAGATCTCCATGATTCTTATTCCAGTCTAAGAACTCCTATCAACAGTCTCTAAATGGCATCTATAAGACCATTCCCGACATCACCAGACTGATACCACTTCATGCGAGTGCAAATTTCTGGGCACTCTAGTGTTCAATCATCTTCCACCTTCAGATCACGAAAGGCACGAAGGCCAATCTATATCCTCAGGCTTAAGAAGATTGAACAGGGGAAGCTATTGTACCCCAAAATTCTCCCTCTCATATTTCTCAAAATATTGCAAGAAAAATCTCCAAGTTGCTCAAGTTTGCTCAAGAGTGGGCCAGACAAATCATCTCCTAATGCAATCAACCCCAAATTAGGGTTTTGTGTTGCATCAAGATCCTTGAGTCAAAATGACCTCAAATTCTCCTTAATGTCCTAATATGTCCACAAGGTCATTCATGTCAAGTTTCAAGCCTTGCAGAGGAAGTTTGCTCAGTCAATTGCTCAAAGGGTCCAAAAATCGACCGTGCTAGGGCAAAAGTCAACTGTGACCCAAATACAGTCAAACCTCAAGATTTTTGTTAACATTCTCATTTTGAAGGATATTTCATCATTTTATCAAGTGTTGATCATGATTCATCAAGGATTGCTCAAAATTCATCAAGACTCAAAAGTTGCTAAATTAGGATTTTGCAGGAAAACTCAACTCAAATTTGACCAAGCATAACTTTCTCATACTTTATGATAAATGACCCATTCAAAGCGCATTTTGAATAGGATGCAATTTCCTATAATCCAGCTTCATACCCCAAGATCAGAAAATGCACTCACAAGAAGTTATAAATTTGGACATTATAGGTCATTTTTGAAAGTCAACAAAAACACCTTTTTTTCCAAAGCTTATAACTTGAGAATGGAATATCAAAATGAGATGAGACCAGAAGGGTTGGTTAAGGGACATCTCAAGCTTTCTAAAAAGTCAAAGAACACTTCCAAAAGTTCAAAATTGAAGAAGTTATGCATTGTTGAAGTTGGGCATTTTTGCAAAATTGCCAAAAGTCAACTATCCCCAAAACATCAAATTTTGTCAAATGGGCCCATTCTTTTCCACTTGATTTGAACTTGACACATTGCACACGTGTCCTAGTTTCATCCATGAGCCCATATCTTATTTTTATTATTTTATTTGATTTTTTATTGAATTATTTCATTTTAAATCAAATTAAATCAAATAAAATCCAAACCTTAATTACCTAAGATCTTTTTGGTTGTTTCAGGTCTTTATTGTCATCATAATCATCGTCAAAATTCGTATCAAGAATATCATGTACAAAAAGATGGATTTTTGACAAAATTGGCAAGCTTTAAAGGATGAATCAAATCAAATCATAAGGCATTGATTTAGAGGGATTCCATCCATATTTATTACCCTAATACCTTCTATCATACATAAGCAAGAGAGGCACACGAAATTTATGGTTGGAGGCTGCAAGAATTGACAGAACAAATCTTGAAAAAAGTGACAAAAAGCTTGAATTCGAATTCATAGCTAGAGACATTTTCAGGACTTAGCAAGCATCCCAATCGCTTCCTGGACGTTCATTGGAGCTAAACCAATAAAAAGCAAGTGTTCTCACACACCACAAAGCGCTGTAAGTGTCACACGATTCCCTTCTGTACTTGGTTTCGTATCTCAAAAAGTATGCATTGTTACAATGAAATAATTGCATATTTGTAATCACCATGCCACTTGCCAGCGTCTGACATTAACCAATTTCATTTATATGACCAATATGGAGTTTTGCCATTGCTAGGTTTTCGTCCTTGTTTTTGGGGCTTTTATTTTCAGGTACAATTGGCCATAATAATGGCTATGGTTGTGACTAGCTGGTCAAGACGAACACAACCATGGGTTCAGAATGCATTTCCATGGCGCCTATAGGACTTTAGAGATGCTTGATTTATAGCTACGGACTTTTGTCCGTTGGTATAGGCCTGAGTTGTTTTAGCCACGGTTCAACAAAGAAGACGATGGCGTGTCGCTTCCCCATTTGCCTGTTCAAATAGCGCGCACAATTTTTTTTTCTGGCATATAATTTGTTTTCTTTTATTATATTATTTTTGTATATTACTAACAATTGAAGCAAAGCGTCCTAGTGGCAAGGCAGGCAAGCATATCACTTTCAGGACCTGGGTTCGAATCCCAGGTCCCCACTTCCCTTGTTATTTTTCTTTTTCAGGCAATTGTGTGCATATCCAGATTTGCAGCTTACCATGCACCATCATTCAATCAATTGCCAGATGGCCCAGGGCCAAATCTGGTGGCCAAGATCTGAAGGACCACCATAGGCAAAGTCAGCGCACACACACGGAATCTCAAAAGTCAACAGGGCCACCTACATTTGGGCCTTGTAGCGGTGAAAATCGGAGATCAAGCTATTAATTAACTTGACTCACAAAAAGCAAGAGTCGCCACCACGCTTTATTATTTCCAAGGGAAAAGGGAAAAGAGCGAAATAAAACCCTAAAATATGCAATGTAAAATAATACTTAAAAGTAATAAAATACAATGCGTTTTTTGAAAGAGATCGAGAGTTCGGGGGTTGGTTATACAATGGGAAGGTATTAGCACCCAATGCATCTGCGGTACTCCGCAGGAACCTTTTGAAATATCTGTTTTTCGGTTAAAATTGTTTGTTTGATTAAGATGGTTTATTTGGTTAAAAGATGGGTATGGACGAGATTTTTGAAGATACGACGACCTAGTGTCGAAGTTTTGACTTAAAAGGTGTGAGTTTGAAAATGGAGTCTTTTGGGAAAATTATCTTAAGTTTGGCAAAATAGTAAACAAACAAAAAATGAAAAAAAAAAGTATTCGCACGATCGGATGAGACGTATTTGATGACGTGAAGTCAACAAATTTAAATCTTTCCCTTGGAGTAAGCAAAATAAAATGAACATCAAAATATAAACATTCAGAAGTTCACAAGAAAATAAATCTGACAAAAACAAATTAATGATCAAGAGGCACCGAGAAATTGAAATGACAGAAATATACAAATAAAAAGGAATATAACTAATTATCTAAAGAAGTTATTCGAACTAAATTAAAAATTACTTACTAAAATAATTCTAAGCTAATTACAAATTCTAAGGTTATATAAAAAAATCTAGTATTATTGAATTTGATCTAAACTAAACTAAAGTTTTAAAATTTAGTAAGTTAAATCTAGATTAAATTAAAATCCTAAGGTTACTAAATTAAATCTAAAACAAATGAAAATTCCAAAGTTACTAAACTAAATCTAAATCAAATAAAATTCTAAAACTACTAAACTAAATTTAAATCAAATAAAAACTCTAAAGTTATTAAACTAAATAAAAATTATAAACTTATTAAACTAATTCTAAATAAAAATTATAAATTTATTAAACTAATTCTAAATCAAATAAAAATTCTAAAGTCACTAAACTAAAACTAAACAAATAAAATTCTAAAGTTAACTTAAATAAAATCAAATAAAATTCTAAAGTTATTAAACTAAAACTAAACAAATAAAATTCTAAAGCTAATTTAAATAAAATCAAATAAAATTCTAAAGTTATTAAACTAAACTAAAACAAATAAAATTCTAAAATTTACTAAATGAAATAAAATTCTAAAGTTATAAAATAAATCTAAACTGATTAAAGAATTCTAAATTAATATTAAACTAAATTAATTACAAGATTTACTAATATTTTATATATATATTTTTTTAAGATAAACAATTGTTTTATTTCATTTTTTTCATTATTCTTTTTAGTTTCAAAATTTATTTAATAAACAAAAATAAAGAAAACAAATAAAAGAAAAGTATACAGCAAAAGCACCTTTTCTCTTGCAGTGTCATTGAACACACGCAGCATTGGAATGATACCATTAGACGTCCCATTTGTTCCACGAATGTAGCTGCCATATGCCCTTATGTTATGAACAGAAACACCAATCCCTCCAGCAGATTTACTAATGACAGCGCACTCTTTCAATGTATCATAAATCCCCTCAATACTATCATCTTTCATACATATCAAGAAGCGACTACTCAAACTGAGGCCTGGGAGTCCCAGCATTGAAAAGAGTTGGAGAAGCATGAGTGAACCATCTCTGAGACATTAAATGATAAGTCTTAACAACGGATTCAATATCATGCTTGTGAATCCCAACAGAAACCCCCATTATCATATGTTGAGGCCTTTCAACAACAGTCCCATCAACTTTCAACAGATAAGACCTCTCAAGGGTTTTGAATCCAAAATAATCATAGTCAAAATCCCGGTCATAAATTATCTCACTATCCAATCGAGCCGTATCCTCCATGATAATTTCATAGACATCATCAGCAATCAAAGGAGCTTTCTTCCCAGATTTGTGGTTAAAATGATTATACATAATCTGCACAGTTTCAGAAAACGACTTCTTAGTATTCTTATGCAGATTCGAAACAGCAATCCTAGCAGCAAGGGAAGCATAATCGGGGTGGTTCGCAGTCATGCCGGCGGCGGTTTCAGCGGCCAATTCATCGAGTTGACTAGTAGTCACACATCTATAAACAACAACACAAACCTTCTGAGAAACCAAAACAGGGTCACAGTGTTCAGTGCTCAAACCGTAACTGAGTTTCTTCAAGCACGCCGTAATCTTATCGAAATGAACAGTCTCTTGACGTCCGTCCCTCTTAACGACGTACATCTTGTATTGTTTTGAAGAGTTTTGGTTGAACAGTTTTGGCGCAAGAGAGAAGAGATAGGTGTGTTGTGGGGGAAGAGATTGGATTGAGGATGGGTTTGTCTGGATTTGAAATTGGGTTTGTGGATAGAACAAAATGGGATGGGAGATTTGTGATGTTTCAGCAATAAGGAACAACCATTTCTCCAATGCATTGTCATGTTTCAGTGGAAATTAAAGGTATAAACTTGAAATCATGCTTTTGTTGTTTTTTTTTGGAGAGAGGGGAAATGAATTTATTTTATGTGTTTTTTGTGTGTATCCCCCCATGAGTTTATGAATGTTAGTTTTTTTATGGTGAAGGTGATTTTTGTGACAACCAATAGGTGAATGGTGAATGGTGAAGGTGATCCTCAATTTCATCCAACAACCAATAGGAATAGAGTATTGTGTGTGTATCGATCCTCAATTTCATCCAACAGCCAATAGGAATCAAGCATAGTGTAATAAACATTATTTTGTGACCAAATAGTCCTTACATGATAAAAATAACCAAAAAAACTAAATGTATTAAAATTAACTCAATTTAAAATGATTTTTTCGAATATTTTATGAATAAAAAATAAAGACCCAAAATAACCAAAAATGATTAAAAAAAACGGACGAAAATTTATCCGAAAAAATAAAATGAACACATTAAAATAATCTACATGTCACAAAGATTAAAGAAAAAAAATATTCAAGAAGTCGAAAATCAAAAATAAAATAATAATAAAAATATCAGACTAAACAGACGTTTAAGGTTAAAACGAGACTTCGAACTGTACCAAAAAAATAAAGCGAGCATACCGTCATAATCTACGCGAAGCGCAGATTCATAAAATGATCGGTAAAGGGTGAAAACTTGAAATATTTTCTCGCTACTTTCCCGCATAGTGTCGAATCGCTTTTAACAGTCTGTCTATAAAACCAAAATATTTTTATTATTGACATATAAACAACTTGGAGCAATGCAACAAATGAGTAAATAGATAAAAATGCGTGAAGCAAAATGCCGGGTATTTTACAACTGAAAGACGATGCAAACTTTGATTTAAACTGACTTTTTCTGATCAACTTAAATACGACTAATGATGCAAAATGTGATGAATGAAGATATTTACTAATGATCGTGACCAAATGACAAAATATGGTATGAATGTGCGACTGAAAAAATTAGGGGTGAAATTAAGGGTGCAACAGTTGTGCCTTGATGAATCAGTCTTCGAGAATCCACAATCAACCGTACTTCGGGCTTTTGGGAGACTCAAAACTTTACTTGAGGCGCGACATCTGATGCTCTTGATTCAGATCTGTTTCCTGCAAATGAAATCAAAGAAACAAAAAAAACACACACTTCGTGTTTGATTAGAAGTTAGTGATACATATGCTAAAAATGTTCAAAACACTTGACAATCTTCGCATAGTCAAAGCTCGAAGGTGAGACGTTAAAACCGACCGTATTTCGTGACCTTGACTTATGCAAAAATAAAAATGGGATCTTAGGTCAAAAATTGGGGTACAACAGCTGCCCCTATTTAAGTTTCTTCTATCTGGAGATATGAAGATTGGGATCTTCATTTCGACGAGATTGAAGGGACTTAAATATAGAATACACAATTTTTGGCCTTAAGATACCGCGATTATGTTCATGATATGATATGAATGTAATGCTCTGAATTTTATGGGGAATGGCGCCATATGAGACAGACTATGCTGGAGAAACCAAGCACATTATACAATAATCCCATAGAGGAAGAGGTTGTAACTCCACTGGGGAAATAAAGTCATAGACTTCAAATGAGAGACTCTTGAATGATTTACATCAGTATTGAGACTGGAAAAGAAATGATTTACATCAGTACGAAGACTGGAAAAAGAGATGATTTACATCAGCACTGTGACTGGAAAAGGAAATGATGGACATCAGTACTGAGACTGGAAAATGATTGACAGCAGCATTGAGACTGGAAAATGATTGACATCAGCACTGAGACTGGAAAATGATTGACATCAGCACTGAGACTGGAAAATGATTGACATCAGCACTGTGGCTGGAGATAAACATCTCTGATTTCTGAATTTTACCAAGAACGGTAACACATTTCTTCTTTAACCAAGATATCGCTTGAAAAGGATAAAATAACAAACTTCCCCACAGGACTTTTCCGAAGGGATGCCATTTGCTGAGTAAACATTATTGTTGGGGATACACAAGCTACTCACATAAAGAGGTCGCCACTTGCTTCCTTTCAAAGGTGTCAATAACATACAAGCTGCTCATGAAGAGACCGCCACTTGCTGTCTTCAAAGAATATTAAAGCACACAAGCTGCTCATGAAGAGTCCGCCACTTGTTGCCAAAAATCCACAAGCCGCTCATAAAGAAGCTGCCACTTCCCGTTTTCAAGGGAACAATAACACACAAGTTGCTCATAAAGAAGCTGCCACTTCCCGTTTTCAAGGGAACAATAACACACAAGTTGCTCAAATAGATAAGCTGCCACTTGCTGTCTTCCAAAAATACTAACGTACAAGCTGCTCATGAAGAAGCTGCCACTTGCCGTTTTCAAAAAAAATGTTGATAACATACAAGTTGTCCATGAAGAGACTGCCGCTTGCTGTTTTTAAAAGTGTTGATAACATACAAGTTGTCCATGAAGAGACTGCCGCTTGCTGTTTTCTCTAAGGTATCAATAACATACAAGTTGCTCATGAAGAGACCGCCGCTTGATGTTTCCCAAGGTATCAATAACATACAAGTTGCTCATGAAGAGACCGCCGCTTGATGTTTTCAAAGGTGAAAATAAGATACAAGTTGCTCATGAAGAGACCGCCGCTTGCTGTTTGTCAAGAGTATCCATAACACACAAGTTGCTCATGAAGAGACCGCCGCTTGCTGTTTCCCAAAAAGATACCCATAAAATATCGTGAAGATATTGCTGGAGGTGAGAACCAATAATTTCATCGAGGATGGACAAACTGCTCATGAAGAGACCGCCATTTGTCGTAGAGAAATCAGAAATAATCAAACTGCTCAAATAAAGAGTCAGTCGCTTGTTGTCATGTCGATATTCCAGAAGAAGGTTGTGATAACACTACTAGGGAATAAAGTTCATCTTCAATGGGAAACCATGAATGGATTCTTCCTGAGAAGACCAAGTATTTACATTGCAAAATAAATGCACTCTCCATCTAGGTTTTACAGCCTAGAGATATCCACAGGGTATCGTTCACAAGAGACAAAGCTCAATCCAGGAATAAACTGGAGAGGGAAACAGTCAAACAAGACTCCACCCAATAAGGAAACAACTCAAATGGGGATTTATCCTATCCAGAGATGGAAAAGGAAAGCTTAAAGTAAGATTCTTCCACGAGAGTTAACTCAGTGGGGAATTAGAAAAAGAGGCGCACTTTCTGCTTAAGTTGACACTCTATTTGGAAAGATCAAATACGCTATTTGAATAGACATAACCAAGGTATACGTACTCAAAGACATCAACAAATACAACTGTGCATGCATGATGCAAGTGTGAATGAATAAATGAATGTCATGTATATGCTGACAAAACAGACAGGGGAGATAGACAGAAAATGATAAGACATCACAGTACAACTCGACACTCGGCTAATCTCAACAGGATGGTAACATTACTGGAGATAAAACACAGGCCATCATTGGAGCAAGGTCCTTTTACAAGGCTTAAATATCTCTGGAGAGGAAGATATTTTCAGGTAGAAAACCCAAAGTCTAGTCTTCTATTGCAAACAATCCATTGAAAGGATAACAACACCAACAAAGTTTCAGCTGGAAAGAAGTCTTTCTTAGCTAGAGATACAGGGAACACCACCCTCTGATAATGTATGAAAAACATATCTTGACAAATCTGGATTGCCCCTGGGATTAATTTTGGATGCCCCAAGTTTACTGCTGATAAGCTGCGTGATGCACGACAATTCTTGCGAATAGCTTCACTTCTAACATGCCCCAAGCTATCTGGTTGATGAGGAGAAATCGTCTCAAGAGGATTTTACAAAAGACCTGGAATTCACCATGCTCTGGTGTCTTCATACTCTTAGAGGAATTCATCAAATCTCGACGTGATTGCCCTGGATTGACTGTAGTTGGCACAACAAAGTCTTCAAATTTTTCCCCAAAAGAGTAAACAAGTTGGGAAAGCATTAATTAGGAGAAGCAACATGTCCGTGCTTAAGGTCTTCAGGTGACATGCCCCTGGATATGATTTTTCTTGACGTGATCCGCCAATTACTCAACATAGTTTCAGGCCTTAAAAGAATAAACTCATCACTGGTGCTTATGTGAGCTTCCTTGACATCAAACAAATGTTTTGCAGTTAGAAAAAGTTTACAATGAGAATGAAAATTCTAATGCAACAGTTATGTAAGTCTTGAAGATTTTGAAAGATATCGCACAAATTTTGCGAGTTAAAACACCATTTATTTTTGTATAGGAAAAACATATGATACCAACATAACTATTTAGAACATTCATGGGAGTCAGGAACACTATCTCATTGAAGTATGCTTTCAAAATAATCTTGCTTCAATTAGGACTTTTGAAGGTTGTAACGTGGTCTGGTTCATGGTTTTTAGAAAAAAGATTTTAAGGCTCAAAATATTTGGTGCCCACCCCCTTCATGATGTTCTCCAACCCTATGTTCAGTTAATTCAACATGAGTGTTCATCTCTCAAAAGGATTTTGTGACGGTCAAGGAAACGACGAGGCTTTCGGAGTAGAAACCACCCTCATGTCTTCGTGTTTGTAGTCACCAATTTGTTCTTTGCTGAGGACTTTTCTTTGCAGTCCTTTTCTTTGCAATTTTATTTTCCCTAACTTTTGCCTGAACTAATTCTTTTGAATTGATAGTCCAGCGGGATGCCTTAATTTTGCCTAAGTCACACGTTTTCATGTTTTTTGACTTAGCAGGCTTTTTCTTTTTCTCGATTTTTGGCTTTTTGAACAAA